AAAGTGTCCTCCCCAAGAAGACCATTGGGGCACACGCTGATGGTAAACTCTGCATCTGCAGTACGTGTGGCAAAGATCTCTCTGATAACAGCTCTCTCCGCAGACACATGAGGACTCACACTGGCAGCGAAAAGCCGCACAGCTGCCAGACTTGTGGCAAACGTTTTTTCGATAGGAGCTCTCTCAGCAGACACATGATGACTCACACTGGTGAGAAGCCGTACAGCTGCAAGACGTGTAGTGCGGGATTCAATCGGAGTGTCCATCTCCATGTACACATGAGAATTCACACTGGCGAAAAGCCGTTCAGCTGCAAGACGTGTGGCAAAGGATTCACTGAAAGTAGCTCACTCCGAAGACACATGAGGACTCACACGGGTGAAAAGCCGCACAGTTGCAAGACCTGTGGCAAAAGTTTCGCAGATATTAGCTCTGTCCGCGTGCATATGAGGACTCACACTGGTGAAAAGCCGTACACCTGCCAGACTTGTGGCAAAGGTTTTTCCGAAAGCACTCATCTCCGCACACACTTGAGGACTCACACTGGTGAAAAACCCTACTGCTGCCAGACTTGTGGCAAAACGTTCTCTCACAGCACAACACTCGACGTACACTTGAAGACTCACACTGGTGAAAAACCGCACAGCTGCCAGACATGCGGCAAAGCTTACTCTCAAGCCACTCATCTCCGTAGACACATGAGGACTCACACGGGTGAAAAGCCGGTTAGCTGCAAGACTTGTGGAAAAAAGTTCACTCAAGGTGCTTATCTCCGTATACACATGATGACTCACACTGGCGAAAAGCCGTTCAGCTGCAAGACGTGTGGCAGAGGATTCAGTCGAAGTGTCCATCTCCGCGTACACATGAGGACTCACACTGGTGAAAAACCCTACTGCTGCCAGACTTGTGGCAAAGCGTTCTCTCACAGCACCTCACTCGACGTACACTTGAAGACTCACACTGGTGAAAAGCCACACAGCTGCCAGACTTGTGGAAAAGATTTCTCGCAACGTAGCCATCTCCGTACTCACGTGAGGACTCACACTACTGAAAAGACGCACAGCCGCCAGACTCGCGGCAAAGTTTACTCACAACGTACTACTCGCCGCGTGCACATGAGGACTGCTCACACTGGTGAAAAGACGCACAGCTGTCGGTCTTGTGGTGAACGTTTCGTCGACGAGGGCAATCTCCGCAGACACATGCGGACACACGCCGGTGAAAAATTGTCGCAGCTGATGGAAAACGAGCATGAGGCCGAAGAGTGGCCACGGGGAGAAGAAGAGGAGGAAGAGCTGCCACAGGTGCAGGAGAAGGAGCGTGACAATGACGAGGAGCCACGGCGAGGAGAAGAGCGGGCGCCGGTGAAGGAAAATCGGCGTGACGCTGAAAAGCGGCTACGGCCCTCGCGACGACAAGGGGGGTTGACGCGGGTAAAGGTAAAGCACCGTGACGCTGAAGAGCGGCCACGGGGAGGTGAACAGCTGCCACATGGAGAGGAAAAGCAGTGTGACGCTGAAGAGCGGCCACGGCCACCGCGACGAAAAGGAGTGCTGACGCGAGCGAAGGAAAAGCAGCGTGACGCTGAAGAGCGGCTACCGCGAGGTGAAGAGCTGCCACTGGTAAAGGAAAAGAAACGTGACGCTGAAGAGCGGCGACCGCGAGGTGAAGAGCTGCCACTGGTAAAAGAAACGGAGTGTGAAGCTGAAGAGCGGCCACGTCTACCGCGACGACAGCGGGTAAAGGAAAAGCAGCCTGAAGCTGAAGAGCGGCCTCGGCGAGGTGAAGAGCTGCCGGACGGAAAAGACACGGCGTCACAGGGAAGAGAAGAGCAGCTTCTGGTAACAGAGCCTGTACAGGATGACAGGCCCTGCAAATGCCAAACTTGCGGCAAAGGGTTTGTTCTCATTACCCATCTCCGTAGGCACGTAAAGAGGCACACCGCTGAGAAAAGCTTCGAGTGTACGACCTGTGGCAGAGGGTTCCGCGAGCCCGGTATTCTCGAGAGACACATGAGGATGCACACTGGCGACAAACCGCACACCTGCCAGACTTGTGGCGCAAGTTTCTCTGCCAGTGGCAACCTCCGCGCTCACATGAGGACACACACCGGCGACAGACCTTACAGCTGCCAGGTTTGTGGCAGGAGTTTCACTCGCAGTGACCATCTCCACACACACACGAGGACACACACCGGTGAAAAGCCCTACTGCTGTCAGACGTGTGGCAAGGCTTTCTCCCACAGCAACGTTCTTTGCGCACACATGCGGTCACACACAGGTGCAAAGCCTTACATCTGCGAGACCTGTGGAGCTGGTTTCTCAAGTAGTTACAATCTCTCTGCCCACATGAAGAGACACACGGGTGAAAAACCGCACACTTGCCCGACCTGTGGCAAGGGTTTCTTGCGCAACACCGATCTTAACACGCACTTGAGGTCACACACTGGTGAAAAGCCTTACTGCTGTGTCACGTGCGGCAAACGTTTCCCTAACAGCTCCTCTCTCTGCACACACACGAGGGTCCACACAGGTGACAAACCCTACAGCTGCCAGACTTGCGGCTCAGAATTCGCTAAAAGTTTCAACCTTCACAGGCACATGAGGACCCACACTGGACAGAAGCCTTTCAAGTGTCCAACATGTGCAAAATGTTTCACTAGCAGTACCTCTCTCCGTGAACACGGGAGGACCCACACTGGAGAGAAGCCTTTCAAGTGTGCAACGTGTGCCAAGTGTTTCGCTATCAGTGGCAACCTCCGCTCACACATGAGGACTCACACTGCTGAAAAGGCTTACAGATGTCGGACCTGTGGGGAAGGTTTCAGTTACAGCGTTACTCTCCGTAGACACATGAAGACACACCTCTGAGGAGCCTGTGAGCTGTCAGCGGGGAATATGTGGAATGACATACTTAATGGCTGTCACCATATGAATCCTAAGTTGGTTTAAGTTACTGATTCTTATAAGTTTCCTTTTTATATAGTTTGCAGAATTATATCGCCCCACATATGAATTAGGAAACGAAATTTCTGCCTCATAAATCACTAGATTAAATAGTGAAACCTTAGTTAGTTTTTGTATTTCTCCAGTTGATTATAGTTGTTTCTTTAAAGTGTTTATTTTTAAATTTTGTGGTAATGTTTTATTTGTGAATTATTGTGCTTGTGTATTCTCCTATTAAAACACCCGTGAAAATCCTTTCAGTTGTCAGACCTGTCGTAACATTAGTGTTTTCTTTCTTATATATTTTTCCCTGTACCTTTTTTTTTATCCCTTGTCATACATTTAGGGTGGCCATAATCAATAAGATACTGTAGTGCTTGAGTTATAGACTAATTTGTTTCCCTTTAATCTGTGACAGTTTAGTTTTGCTGTGTGACTGCCTAACTTTAATCGTGATTTTGTATGCCTATTTGCTAAGATACATGGTCGTTGCTCGGCTTTGTTTTGTACGTAGTGCTCTACATTTAACATCCTGTCGGCGTCATCTATTCATTTGCCAATAAATCTATTCTATAGTTAATAATGACAATCACTTAAAATTAAATTACTTCTGTGATGCCCTGTTTCCAAACGTCCTTGGCCGTGGCCCATAGTTCGCCATCAGTGCTTTTGTCAGAGTTTCTGTGGGGGCCCTCCCCGCAAACCCCAACCGTCGGTCTTGCGTCAGTGCAGTACACAGTACTCCACCGACCCCCCATTGCTCTGGTGACCGGCTCGCGCGTGTCGTGTTCTGCTTGTAGGGTTTCCCCCATCCAGGAAACTCCAAATTCCGTCAGTGGGCTTGGGCCCCCCGTCTCCCCGTCCGCGGAGACTTGGTGGGGATCAGGGGGGAAAGAGAGGGGAAGGGGGGATCGCCTTTCCCAGGCACCGGACCCATCGGGCACCGGCACTAGACCGGCACGGCCCTCTCTTTCAGTCAGTACTTACATTACCCAGTGCGGCTCGTACGTCAGTCAGTCTCGCGGTCCAAGCCTCATAGGCAAACCTTGATCGGCCCAACGTGTCTTAAACATGCGTAAGTACCGAAGGTCACGTTTTTGTGCTCAATTGGGGCACTCACTACTATTTAGATATAGATTTGCGCCCTTCTGCAAAAGGGTTTTGCTTGGCCTCGTTTCGCTCTCGTTACGTCGCGCGCCAGTCAAATATGTCAAAAAGCGCCGAGCAGAGAGGGGGGTGGGTAGGGGGATTCCCGCCGCTTGTTTGAAACGAAGTAGCCTCGCAGCGGGTGGCTGTGCCCAAGGATCGGCTCGGCTCGGCTCGACACGACACGGCTCGGCTCGGCAGCAAACAAACGAAAACGAAACGACAACAACTTCCCAGGCAGCGAGACTTGCAGGTTATGTCATGGCGCTCGGTAAGAGAAAACATTGTTTAAAGTGGATGTCTGCGCTTGTCTCTGATAAGCGCACTGCGCAAGTGATGGGGACGGGTCTCAAAATATTCGTTTGTCTTCATTTTTCTCTCAATGAATGCTCTTTTATCGCATGCACCGGCTTTTGCAAGCGGGCGCAACGGGTCGGGCACTTTAAATGCCAAACGAAGGTCCCGCTCGTCAATCAGCTCTAGTTATAGCCGAAGTCAACCATTTCATTAATTGCGTGTCTACGCGAGCATTTTGTAACAATCAATACGTCGTGCAATGGTATACAGTTTATTTCATTACGTCAGTGACAGGCATGTTGATAGTTCCTTGAAGAGCCGAGGGCCGAGAGCCGAGTGCCGAGTGCAGGCCGAAGGCCGAAGCCGAAAGCCGAAGGCCGCGCGAGCCGAGCAGCCGAGCCGAGCCGAGGCGAGCCGATGCCACCCGTAGCGAGGCTACCCCGATTCAAACTAGCGGCGGTAAACGCCTGCGTCGAATACCACCACCGCGTGTCTATAACCCGAGCGTTTCTCTCTGCAGGCGCCGGCCCCGTACCAGGCCCCTCCGAGGCGCCCCGCTACCCCAAACGAGCCAGCCGGGGTACCAGCACGGAGCCACAGCCGCAGCAGGACGGCGACGACCTGCTCTGTAAGTAGCAGAGTTGTGAGTTTGCCCGTTTGAGCGCGGCGTTATTTGGCGAAACGAGATATAACTTTTTGGCCCGGTGTTTCAGTCTGCGATGACTGCCAGAAGGACTGGGACGGCGACTGCCCGTATCACGGACCGCTGCTGGTCATTGCGGACACCGAGGTATGTACTTACGAGCCGTGTGGCGGTATCATGAGTATCGAACTGTGTGCCATGTTTTCACTTTCTGTACTCAGGTCCCCTTCGGCCACCCGGAGCGAGCGCTGCTCACGGCGCCGAACCAGCTCGCGGTGGAGCTCAGCAAGGTCCCCGGCGAGTCGCGGGGCGTCTGGACCTGGGAGGCGGTGCCCAGGAGGGCGCGCTTCGGGCCGTTCGAGGGCGACAGCTTCGACGACCTGCCTCCCCCCACCAAGGTGAGTGGACACGCCGGGCACCCCGGCCAAGCTCACTAACACCTGTACCGGGTGATTCAGAGAAGACGCAGGTGCGGGCGGGTTTGCCTATCCTCGACTCGGCGGGCGCACGGGTCCAGGTCTGGGGAGAGGTGAGGAGGGGACCCGTGCGCCCGTGCGTCCGCCGAGTCGAGGATAGGCAAACCCGCCCGCACCTGCGTCTTCTCTGAATCACCCGGTACGTCTCAATACTCAATCTTGTCTTCCTCCCCCAGATACGCCGCCTGGCGGCCATGAACATGCCCTCGTCCAACTGGATGAGGTTCGTCAACTACGCGGACCGGCCCGAGGACGGCAACCTGGTGGCGTTTCGGCTCAAGGGCCGCCTGTACTACCGGACGGTGCGCGACATCCCCGCCAGCAAGGAGCTGCTCCTGTGCGGCGGGCCGTCCAGGGGCCTCCGCGGCGTCAACCTGCCCCTCCCACCCGCGCGGCCCGGGACTCGACGAGGGACGAGCACGCCGACGGCGAGCACCCTCACGGCGAGCACCTTCCCCTGCAAGAAGTGCGACCTTTGCTTCGGCACCCCCCTACTCCTCGGGCAGCATCGACTCAGGTGCTCGGTCGAGCTCAGTCGGCGTCGCGCTGGTGGCGGTGGCTCCTTGGTCAGCGGTGGGCCGAGGATAAAAGAAGAGCAGCCACTGGAGGAAGAGTGGCCGCAGGCAGATTACGTAGTAGATGTAAAAGAAGAGCTGCTGGAGGTGGAGGAGCTGCTGCAAGGAGAAGAGCTGCAACCGGTGAAGGAAGAGCCGCAACAGGTGGAAGAAGACCTGCCACCGATGGAAGAAGGCCTGCCACAGGTGATGGAAGAGCTGCCACTGGCGAAGGAAAAGCGGCGAGAAGACGAAGAGGGACCAAATCGACAAGAAGAGCTGCCGCTGGGAAATGACGTAGAGTGCGAGGCTGAAGAGGGGCCACGGCGAGAAGAAGAGCTGCCGAGGGGAAATAAGGAAATCTGTGAGGCTGAAGAGGGGTCTCATCGACGAGACGAAGAGCTGCCGCGCGGAAAGGAAAAAGAGTGTGAGGCCGAAAAGGGACCACATCGACGAGAAGAAGAGCTGCTGCGGGGAAATGAGAAAAAGTGTGAGGCTGAAGAGGGACCACATCGACGAGAAGAAGAGCTGCCGCAGGGAAATGAGAAAAAGTGTGAGGCTGAAGAGGGGCCACATCGACGAGAAGTAGAGCTGCTGCAGGGAAAGGACAAGGTGTGCGAGGCTGAACCGGGGACACGGCGAGGAGAAGAGGTGCCGCGGGGAGATGAGAAAAAGTGTGAGGCTGAAGAGGGGCCTCACCGACGAGACGAAGAGCTGCCGCAGGGAAAGTGCAAGGCTGGAGCGGGGACTCGGCGAGGAGAAGAAGAGCTGCCGCGGGGAAATGAGAAAAAGTGTGAGGCTGAAGAGGG